CACTCCAGTTTGGGCAACAGAGTGAGACTCCAACTCAAAAAAAAAAAACCAAAAAAACAAATTTTTTAAACATATACAGAAAGTTAGTCCTATAACAATGTATATATCTCATAGTATTAACATCAGTTATCTGCATGTTGAAAGATGAGGATTTTTTTTTCTTTTTAACATATATTTCCTGACTTTTCTACAAGTCACACTTTTATAATTACAAATCATTAACTTATTTTAAATGAGCACATATCATATGATGGCTATGGGAGATGACCTAGAAATAGCAGATAAAAACAGAGTAAGAATTGGCCGTGCAGTAATGTTTGATATCATATTCAATTGGAGAGAAATCCCTCAAATTTTCAATATTATGGGAATGGCTAAGCAAACTACTTCATAGCAACCTGATGGCATATCATATAGTTTTTTAAAATGACAAATAGGTAGATTGTGGATACTTGGAAATGGGTATATGGAATGGATAGAACCAGGCATAATATAGTCTGGTATAATTTCTTATTGATTACAACTATGTCAAAATGTATGTAAATACTAAAATGAATTTGGAGGATGGAGGTAGTGTCTTTTTTTATTGTGGTAAAATATAAATAATATAAAATTTGCTGTTTTAAACATTTTAAGTTTATGTTCACTGACATTAAGTACATTCAAAATGTCATCCAACCACAACCACTAGGCATTTTCAGAGCTTTTTCATCATCCCAGAGAAACTCTGTCTCCATTAAACAATAACTATGTCTCCCTCCTGCTAAGCTCCTGGCAACCTCTATTCTGTTATTGTCTGTATGAATTTACCTGTCCCAGGTACCTTATATAAGTAGAATTATACAGTAGTTGTCCTTTTGTATCTGGCTTGTTTCACTCAGCACCATCTGTGTTGTAGCCTGTGCCAGAATTCCCTTCCTTTTTAAGACTAAGTAATATTCCATGGTATGGATAGGCCACATTTTGTGTATCCATTTATCTGTCCATGGATGCTTGGGTTGCTTCCACCTCTTGGTTCTCTTGTGAATAATACTGCTATGAACATGGGTGTATGAATACCTCTTCAAGTTCCTGCTTTCAGTTCTTTGTGGGTATATAACTAGAAGTGGAATTGCTAGGTCATATGGTAATTCTATGTTTAACGTTTTGAGGAACTGTCAACCTTTTAGTGTCTTTTAATATAAAGTTCTTCAAGTTTATTTATACTGACAGTCCCCCTCTTTTGGCTATGCTTGATATACACATGAATTAGCAAGGAATTATTACAGATGTAAAAACATTTTGTTCTGTTTAAAGGAGATAGCCTTTATAGATCTTAAGTTGGTAGAGTGTTTTGAATGTGACTATGGAAAACAGGGGCAACTCAGGTGACTGAAACTTCCAAAAGATTCCAGGACCCTTACATTTTATCCACAGTTTCAACTTTTGCCTTCTTCTAGAAAGCTTTAACCAAGATAACAACAAAATAAATGGATTTATAATTGCTTTATTTTGTCCCATTTAGATAGAATTCAGAGACAGAGAAGAGAACTAAATGACTTAGATATTTTCCTAAGCTGGATTCCTCAATCCTAGGTAGTTGAAAGTAGTTACAGTATATCATTCTCATCAGCTCAGTCACCTAGTTTCCCTGGGTGCTAACCAGTCCTAAAGGAAGTACCAAGAGGCCTTCAATTAAAGGGATGAATTAGGAACTCTGCAATGGTGCTGGAGAGGGTAAGAGGGGCAGGAGATAAAAGATGGGAGAAAACACGGTTTTTGTTCACTTAGAGTGTTGATTGATTGATTGATTGAGTTGGAGTCTCACTCTGTCGTCTTGGCTGGAGTGCAGTGCCACTCTCACAGCCACCCCAGAGTCGACCTGCTGGGCTCCCGTGATCCTTCCGCCTCAGCCTTCCAAGTAGCTGGAACCATAGGCGCGCACTATCATGCCCAGGTTATTTTTGATTTATGGTAGAGACGAGGTCTCGCCAAGTTGCCCGGGCTGGTCTCGAACCCTTGGGCTCAGGCAATCCACTCGCCTCGGCCTCCCAAAGTGCTGGGATGACAGGCTGAGCCACCAAGCCTGGCCTTTATTTTTGTAGAGACAGGATGCTGCTATGCTGCCTAGGTGGTCCTAAACTCCTGGGCTCAAGTGTTCCTCCTGCCTTGGCCTCCCAAAATGCTGGGATTTCAGGTGTGAGCCACTACTCCTGGCCTGAGTGCTGGAAAACAGTCCTCTCAGGAAACTCAGTGTGCAACCTAGGAGTTCACAGTTCATTAGGAACCAGAAACAATAGAGGACATTTATCAAGTAACCTCTAAATCCAAAGTAAAATGGTAAAAATTATTACCCATGACAAAGACTAGCTGAGGAAGTCAGGACAGCTCTTGTCAAACTGTATGTGCTTCTGTAGGCCACTTCAAATTCTTCTAGGAGGGCAGTCAGCAAAGTCCTGTCAGGCCGCATGGCCGTCAGGCCACATCTCCTAGAAGAGAGAAGGTTGGTTACCATATCTCCCTCTATGCTGATGTCAAGCTGTGTGGGCTGTGCTCTCTTCCAGCCAGCGTCCCGTGCTCGGTGGCCCCAGAAAAGTCAGTGTGTAGGCCTCAGCCACCCCAGGTCCGACGTACATTCTCCCTGGACACCATCCTCAGCTCCTACCTTCTGGGCCAGTGGCCACGGGATGCCGATGGGGCCTTCACCTGCTGTACCAATGACAAGGCCACCCAGGTAATGAAGCTCTACCCAGGTAATGGGATGAGGGATAAGGATGGGGCAGGAGGGCTGGCTGAGGAGGCCTTTGGTCTGCTTAATTGACTCTGAATCATTGCAGTGACTTGGTTTTATGTATCCACCGTGTAGCATTTCCTCTCCTGACATTTACCAGCTTGTTTTTCTTTGTAAACTTACATGAAAATGTGTTTGCATTCCACCTGACTAGTGGAAGAGACAAGTCAATCTGGGTCTTTCAGTTTCGTTTTGAGTATTTGCATGTGGGTAATCAACAGTTGACTTTGGAATTTATTCTAGATTTTAAAAAATAAGATTTACCTTGCTAAAATTAAACTGAGGCCAACATTCAGTTGAGTTTGCATTCCCCAGACAACTGGAAGAAGTGGCCAAAAACTGAGCTGAGCCAGGAAAGATCCCATCAGAGCCATAGGAATGGAAACTTCTCAGATAAGGGAGAGCTGTTCCTTGCCAGCAGCCCAGTCTGAGATTTCCACGGACTTGTTAGAGTACTGTGGAACTGGGTTCCTCTCCTTCAGTGTTTTTCTTTAGACAGTCCTTGCATTAAGAATTCCACACTTAGCCGGGCTCGGTGGCTCAGCCTGTAATCCCGCACCTTTGGGAGGCTGAGGTGAGTGAATTGCTTGAGCCCGCGGGTTCGAGACCTGCCTGGGCAGCGAGACCTCATCTCTACACTAAATCAAAAAAATATCAGCCGGGCGTGGTAGCGCATGCCTGAAATTCCGGCTATTTGGAAGGCTGAGGCGGAAGGATCACCGGAGCCCAGCAGGTCGAGGCTGCAATGGCTGGGAGCGGCCATTGCACTCCAGTCTGGGCGACAGAGACTCCAACTCAAAAAAAAAAAAAGAATCCCACACTTGAAAAGTATCTCCAAGCTGGGCACAGTGGCTCACGCCTGTAACCCTAGCACTCTGAGAAGTAGAGGCAAAATAATTGCCTGAGCCCAGGAGTTCGCGACCAGCCTGGGCAACTTAGTGAGACCTCATTGCTACAATAAATAAAAAAATTAGCCTGGCATGGTGGTGTGCGCCTGTAGTTCCAGCTGCTTGGAAGACTGAGGTGGAAGGATCCCCTCAGCAGGTTAACGTTGCCGTGACCGTGAATGTGCCACTATACTCCAACCTAGACAACAGAGTGAGACTCCAATTTAAAAAAGAAAGAAAAAAATCTCCACAGATCATCTAGTTCACTTATCAATTTTTGCATAAGATAGTGTGAGCATGAGCAAGTAGTCATCTCATACACAAAATTATACAAAGATATTTCCTAATCTGATTCAGGACTTCAACATTCTCAGTAGTTAAGTTGTGAAGAGTCAAATCTCCCTTCTGCTAGGTTTCAACTCATTCCTGTTCAACTTCAGAGTAAGCGAGTTGTTCCTAGATGAGTGGAAACAGGGTGGAAGAGACACGAGGCCAGGGTCAGCCCTTCATTCTGGGTGAGCTTAGGCAAGTCAGTTCTTCCTTTGCAAACTGGGTGGAGTGTGATGGCCAGATGGCTGTGAAAGTGCTCAGAGCAGCTCACTCCACTCCTCTTTTTACATCCTGTTGGTTTCTTTCTTTTTTTTTTTTTTTAGTAAGATTCATTTTCAAATGTTGTTAGTGAATGTTTGAATGTCCAGTGCTGTTCTGGGCATGTTGGAATGAAGAATCAGGAAATGAGGACAAGATCTGGCCCCTGTGAATCTGGATTCCACTTCCATGAAGGCCAGTGAACAGCCAGCCAAGGGATGAGCTGGGGTCAAATATCTGGCAAAGTTTACAGGAGGGGAATTCTCATGGGAATACCCTACCTTGAACCAACAAGAATTTGCTGCAATTAGAATTGGTGGCCCTTTTTAGAGCTTTGAACAGAACACGAAGGAAGAATACACTCCAGGTAGCAGGCAGAGTAGGTCACTTCCTGGGATCCCCGGGCAGAACTGTTCCCTTTATCCTTTGGAAAGGCAAGTAGGATAACTTATGCTTCCTCCTCACAGACCTGGGCACACACATTCCTTTCTCCTTTGAGGGGAATGTTCAGTTCAAATTGTGCTTCTCATCAAGGAGAGCTTCCTGGAGGAGCAGGACCTGAGGTTGCTTCCAGTGTGTGAACTCATGCTTGCAGCCCCCTTTGAGCTTCTGTGGAGCCCACCGGTCTCCATCTCTGTCATTTCCTGCTGCCAGCCTTCTAGGAAATCATCGTCCCACTCCTCAGCATTCTCCTTGTCAACTCAAGCCAGCCTCAGATGCTCCCTGGCTGGGTTTGGAGGCATGGGCTCTCAGCTGTGTGTTTTTGCTCAGGCTCCAGCTGCAGGCCAGATCTTTTATATAACAAGTCTGGGCTTCTTGCCACAGAGAGACAGAGGTCAGTGATGCGCCTCCGTGGGTCTGGCAAGGCCAAGCCATCCAGCTTTCCTCTTTCCCCGGGATGGGCTCCAGCCCTCGAGGAACTCTTAGCAACCTGTCAATATTGTGGCTGCAGTCAGGAGGTAGGAGCATTCTGATCAACATAGGCATCCAAACCAAAGTATGTACTCTACCCATCTTTCATCCTGGTCTATTGGGAGTTTTCTGCTTCTAGGTTTTGGGCTCCATTCAGTTTCTTGCTCGAGCCCCCTGGCCTGGCACAAGCTGCCCTCTTCAGCACTAGTATTACATCGTGAAAGCCTGAGGCCCGCCTGTCATCACCCTGAGTAGCTATGTCCCTTCCCTGCTGAGCACTGGCGTCTCACCCAGGAAGGACTGGAATTAAGGAGAGATTTTGCTGGGGAGGTACCAGGGCGTGTAGGGAAGGGCGGAGGGGCAGCAGTTCTACCAAAGTCCTTGCGAGCTTTCAGGCTATTAAAAATGCACTGAGGCCAGAATCTTTCCTCAGTTGCTATGAGATGGAGGGCGGCTATTCCCACCCCACCCCCCACCTTCTGCCCTTTCTCGCCTAGCCACTCAGTGTCGTCGTTTATTTCTGCTGCATCTACCCCACCTGATGGGTACCCGCTACCACCCTCTCTCTCCTCTTACTTCCACCCACCCAGAACCAGCAACCAGAGCCTGGCATTCCTGGAGGCATGCCTTGCAGTGCAGTTGGCAGTCACAGGTATGTATGGTTCAGGCTAAGCTACTCCTTCACTAGAACCTCCAAGAGGCGGCCAGGGCTCTGCCCATTCCAAGCCAGCTTCAGACTTGGGCAGAAGCACAGAATACCTGCCGTTAAGATAATCAGGAATGCTGTAGACTCAAAGCCTCTTCCCAGTGTGGAAGATGATGCAAAAGTCTCTGTTCTTGAATGTATCCAATAGGCCTGCAATCCCAGCATTTGCCTCCTGGTGTGTCTTAAGCTCTAACACAGGTACAGAGGATTGTCTTCAGGCCATGTACAGTGTGACATGGAGAGCAGAGATACCCAAATATTTGGGGCAAGGGAAGAAGAAGGGTGTGGCAAATACGCTGTTTTAGGAAGGAGGAGGGGGAGGAGGTGTGATTGTGGTCATTGAGGAAGAAGTGCCTTGGAGATGCTGCAGGAGGAACCATGGAGGAATGGATAAGATCAATTGGTAAACCAGAACTGGCCACCAAATACTTGGGGCCAGCTTCTCCTGGTGTCTGGGCCTAGACCAGGTTGGGTGAGGGCAGCATGTGCCAGTGGCCATGGTCACCCCGTCCCTTCTTGCTCTGCAAAACCTTGGAGTCTTCGTGTTCTTTTCTGGAGGGAGGAAGTGGTCTCACCATAGCTGGAATGACTGAGCAAAGTTCCCCTGCTGATCTCAACCTGCCAACAGGCAGGACCCTGGGTTCCTGCCCTGCCCAGTCCCGTTTCCTCTGCATTCTCCAGGTGTGGTGGGGAAGCCTCGATAATATGATATTTTTTTCTTTAGCCCTGATTTACCATTTGGGAAAAAAATAGCTTAAGTTCTGGCAAACCTCATGGTATGTCATGAAGGCCAAAGGTGAAGGTGAGTGTGCTCATTGGGAGGACTTCCTTTCTGTGTCTTTCCTTACCTGTGACTGTCCTTCCCTTTTCCCAGCCAGTGCCCCAACAATAATGACACATGATCCAGTCTAACCCTCACAGACCTTTAAAAACTGTTTTACAGGGTGGGCTCAGTGACTCAGCCTATAATCCTGCGCTTTGGGAGGCTGAGGTGAATGGATTGCCTGAGCCCGCGGGTTCGAGACCCACCTGGGCAACTTGGCGAGACCTCATCTCTACAATAAATCAAAAAAATCTGCTGGGTGTGGTAGTGCTCACCTGTAGTTCCAGCTACTTGGAAGGCTGAGGCGGAAGGATCGCCGGAGCCCAGCAGGTCGAGGCTGCGGTGGCCGGGAGCGGCCACTGCACTCCAGTCTGAGCGACAGAGTGACTCCAACTCAAAAAAAAACAAACAAACTGTTTTACTCTGTGGTTGTGGGGGCCTGGGCACAGCGCCTATTTTCCAGACTGGCGACCAGGGCTAGTCGTTCAGCATATGGGTTGACAACAGTACCGAATGTTCAAAAATGGGGGCCATGATGGAAAATCTGAGGGCTTCACAGTCACTGTAGGGCCAGAGATGGTGGCCTTGGCCATCTGTAGCCAGAGATCTCAGTGTTAGCCTGTAACCACCCTCAGAGCCTTTCCTACCTTTTTGTTTGGAGAGACCTAACAGTGATTCCCTGCAGAATTCCAGTTGAACACGTGGTTGCTGACCATCCGCGCCAGGCCAGGCACCATGCTGCTCAACACTCCCGCACTGATACAGCAGGCTCTGTTCCCAGGCCCAGCCTGGCGCTGCACATGGAGCTTACGCAGGTGCCAGGGTCACTGGAAACAGCGAGGGCCAGGACTCTTCCTGCCTGAGGTCATGGAGCATAGCTGGGCTGGAGGCTGAGAGAGCTATCCCAGTGTGGAGGGTTTCCAGCCGCCTGCAGCCCCTCCTCCTCATCATAGTGAGGTGGCCCTTTGGGAAGCTGCCCTCCACCCCCATGCCCTGTTGCTCTGGGCACATGTTGCTCCAGGATCTCAGTCCCAGGCAAGGCTTCCTTGGCGTAACCATGCCCAGTTCTGCACAATCCGAGCATCATCCGCACAGCTGGCCATTGCCACTCACGGTCAGAAGCTGCCCCATCTCTCCCGCAGCTGCTCCCCCAGGCCAGGGTGTTGGATAAGTCTGTTCCAATGTGTGAGTTCCCTTGACAAACACAATTTTTTGGCCTGCTGAGTTCAAGCTCTTCCCTGCTTCCAAAGAGTCATCTATAGTGACTTCTTACAGCATAGCCATGCAGCATGACTGGATCCATTGTGGCCAGAAGATTAGCTCTTTGGAGAGTACACATCCTTAGCTGGAACTTTTCTGTGCTCCGAGGAGATCTTGGTCCAAACTTCCATGGTGAGCCCTCAAAGAGGGACCCTGGAAATAGGGGGCCATGGTCTCTACTCTTGGTGCTCCCAGCCCAGTTGGAGAGGCTACAGCCCACCCATGCGTACATGCGTGCCTTAAGAATGCACAATAGCTTGAGCCCATGGGTTCAGGACCAGCCCAGGTGGATGCTGGAGTGGCCATGAGTGTGCCACTGCACTCCAGCCTGGGCAACAGTGTGAGACTTCAACTCAAAAAAAAAAAGAATGCACAATGCCAGGCAAAGTGGGGACCAAAGGGAGGCCCAACTTTACCTGTATGATAACCACTTGTATGCCTAACCCCACATCTTTAAAATAAAATAAATAAATATATAAAACTCAATGCCAGCATGTCTATATCTTCATAAACAGGATAACCTACCACATTCGCTTTCTGAGGCTGCTTTAACAAATTACCTCAAGCTTAGTAGCTAAAAATGCAGAAATGTATTTGTTCATGTTCTGGAGAAGTCTAGGTTCCGTCTCACTGGGCCAAGATCAAGGTGTTGGCAGGACCATGCTCTCTCAGGAGGCTTGGGGAGTGTCCATTTCTTTCATCTGCCAGCTTCTGGTGACTGTTGGCATTCCTTGGCTTGTGGCCACATCACTCCAATCTCTGCCTCTGTGGTCATATTGTCTTACTCCCTTCTGTGTGTGTCTAATCTCCCTCTCCCTCTCTCTTATAAGGGCATTTGTAATAGCATTTAGAACCCACTCAAATAATCCAAGATAATCTTCCCACCTCAAGGCCCTTAACTTAATCATATCTGCAAAAGCATTACCATATAAGGTAAGGTTTATAGGTTCCTGATATCTTGAGGGTAGGGGGGCATTTTTTAACCTGTCACCTCCTCTCCAGCTATTCTGCCCCTGACTCATTCTGCTCCAGCTACACTGGCCTCCATTTAGTTTTCAAACATGGCAGGCTCACTGCTATCTCAGGGCCTTTGCACTTGCTGTTCCCACTGCCTGGATCACTGTGACCTCAGATGTCCACATGGCTCAATTTCTAATCTCCTCCATGTTTTTATTCAGACGTTACTTTTTTCTTGGGGACTTCCCAATGTCCCTGACACTTCAAATCATGTCTCCTGCCCAGAGTTCTTATTATTTTCTTTGCTATATTTTTCTCCTGAGCACTTACCACTATTTAAACTGTCTTCTCAATTAATAAACTCACAGGAGTCAAGGATGTGTGCTGTTTTGTGCACTTGTGTCTCTGGCACCTAGGATAGTACCTGGCATAGAGTGTATATTCTGTAACTGTTTGTTGAATGCATATATGATATGTACCCAGAACCATCTGCACAGAGGAGACACAGAGAAAAGGAGCAATCAGCCCAAGGTAGACATGTTAGGAAAGGCTTGCTGATGACAAGTCTAGGAATAGTTGGCAGAGCAGGCCATCCACTGATGGGGAGACCAGGCTTGAAGGCCAGGGGTAAGGTGAGGTGGTACACTTGTGTTTGCCTGGGTAGGACAGAGAACCAGGTATAGAGAGCCCTGGAGGTGAAGGGTCAGATGCTGATCTCAGTGACCCAGGGGTAGATGTTGTCACAAAGTGGTGACCTTAGTAGGACAGTTTACACAGAGTAGGCGGTAGTGGTGGAAGATGTTGCCGAGCAGGGAGGGTAGATGAGCTAGATGGAGAGAGGAGATGATCCTGGCCGCCAGGACTGTCACGTCCTGCCAGCTCCTGTGTTAACCAAAATTTCTTCTTCCACCCCTCACGTGTCCTGGAGGAAAGAAGGCACTTGAAGGTTTACATGAGCTGTTAGCAGCACAGTGGCAGCCTGGATGCCGCTGCCTTTTCCTCCCTCTCACCCCACCCACCAATGAGTACAGTGACTTCCTAGAGGAGAGGAGATGGGCATCATCATCCCCTTAGCTTTTGTCACTCCTCCTGAGCCTCTGCCACCATTCCAGGGACAGCAGGCTTGCGTGGGGCTCAGAGCCTTGATGAGCAGAGCTAGTCATCTGTAAGTTGGCTTTGGAGCCCTAAGCAGGGAGGGCCCTGCGTGGTGACTGGGAGCTTCCTCCTCACTTGTCGGTGCCTGCGACGGCCTTTTCTGAGGGTCTGTCTGATAATACCCTGATTTAGAGCCATGGTCGTCTGGAGGGAGATCAGTCACTTGGTTCCATATACTGTCTGAGCCAGCTTTGTCTTGAGAGCCTTAGGATGTGTGCTCAAGACCTGGGCCTGAAGGACGTGCTGTCTGCCCTTTTCCTAAAGGAGGAATCAGGGGAATGGACCTCTGGGTACTCTCCTTCGTGATGCCAGCATCAGGACACAGGAGTCAGGGAGTCGTCTCTCCCTGGCCGTGTCACACAGCCCAGGAAAGGTGCTGATCCGTGAGCAGCTGAGAGGAGGAAGAGCCAGGGAGTCCCAGTCCCCGCAGCCCCTCTCCTCTGCAGCTGTCGCATGGTGCTTGCTCTCAGAGCCTGCTCGGACTCCCCGGCCAAGCTCCTCTCGGCAGCTGTTGGGTGATGAGAAGTTGGGTCTCCCTATCCTCCCCCTGCTATGTTTGCAACAACCTCTTGGGGAGGTCAGCAGATCTCGTGGCGGAGACGGTTCCCAGGCCTTGGTTTTTGGCAGCTTGTGCTTGTGCAGACATTAGGACGAACTGGTTCCACTGGAGTGTTCCCCCTGGTCCCTCCCTTGGAATGGAAGCAGGGACACTGGTGGTGGGGAGGGATCTGGGCCTCTTCAGCTGCATGCTTAGAGCCCACAGCTTCCTCCCTTGGGTGGGGGCTCAGGAAGTGGTTCTACAGCTCCCCCGCCTCCATCTTGAGTGCTCTGTCTTCTGTGCAGCAGGGGACCGGGTGGTGGGCCCAGAGCCTTGTTCTCACAAGGGCAGGGCAGGCCCAGGAAGAGGAGAAGGAGTGACCAGGCTGGAGGGTATCAGAAGTCAGGGCTCGGTTCAGAACTCTGGCTCCCTCCTTCCTGAAAGTGTCTCCCCTCTACTTAGTCAGGAGGACTTTGGGGCCCCCAACACTTCCTCTGTGTGCAGGAAAAATCTAGAAACAAGCTGGAGGCATCATACTATCCAATAGTCTCCTGCTTTGGGCAGGGACCTGTGCTGACCTTTTTCGTGTTTTACCAATTAATGATTCCTTAATGCACTCATGTCTATTAACTTGTTTTCATTTGGCTCCCAGGAGCCAGGCCTGTGCTAGACTCAGAGACAGTAACGATGTCAGTGACTGCCTGAGCCTGTGCTCTTCTGGAGCTGGTTCGGCTCACCATTGGGAGCACCAGGAATACCTCGGGACATCATGCATGTATAAACTCTGAAAGAAAAGAGCAAAGAGGAGGTTGGCCCTACTGGGTCGCCAAGGAAGGTCTGCTGGAGGATGTAAACTGGGGTGAGGCAGTGCAGGTGGAGAGGCCCTAAAAGAAAACAGGCTGGGGGTGCTTAGGAGGCCGAGGAGAGAGGAGGTCTCACAAGGCCCCCTCCTAGACCCAGGAAATGGTGTGTCTGTTCCCCAGGGCCTCCTGGGACACTGCTCTGTCTCACTGTGTTTTTTTCCCCCGCAGACTCCCCTGTCCTGGCAAGAACTGGAAGGTGAGCGGGCCAGCTCCTGCACACACAAGCGCTCAGCGTCCTGGGGCAGCACAGACCACCGGAAAGAGGTAGCTGCCCTCTCTGACCCCTGGGCGAGGATAGCTGCCTCTTCTGTATCCCCAGGCACCATGGGCTGCATCTGCTCCAAAGCGGAATCACAGTCTAGTCTCACTTGCCTCGTCTCGCCTCATCTCGCCTGTCTCTTCCTAATGAGGTGCCTCTTTCCTAGCTGACTCTCCGCCTTCTGGTCGCCGGGTCTTAGGAGCCCAGGCTCTCCTGCTTAGGGAGGGGCTTGTCCAGAGAGAGCTGGCGCCTGTTAGCCCCAAGCACAGGGCTAGAGCTACTGTCATTCTCGCCTGACTTAGAGGTTGGATCCAGACAGGCAGTTCAGAGACTGGGGGAAGCCAGGGAGTGAGTTCCTGGGAACTGGAAGCCCCCAAGCTCATTTATTACTTAACTCTTCTTCCAGCCTTATTTGTAAAAGAAGGAAAAATAATGATGTGTTCCCAAACACGTTTCCCTGGCCCTCCCTCTCCCTTAGGAGGGCTAAAGTCATTGAGGTTAAGTGGAGAAAGCCATAGTCTAGAATATTCCAGGACTCCCGACCAGCTCCTCCTGACATGCTGGGTGGAAGCTCCTGAGAGGGTCAACTCGCTAGGATGCTCCCTCAACCCCTTTACATGAGGAAGTTGCTTCTGCCCTCCTTGTTGCTGAGATCAGTGGGAAAATACAAAGTGAATACACTGTGGGTTTAAGGTGAGGGAGAAAGAAAAAGTGTTTAAAGTTTTCACTGATCAGAGAAGCAAGTTATTCATACTAAATGTGGTGGGGAGTCGTGGTTTGAGTGAGCCACAGTAGCAAATCTGAAAGTGCTTTCTTGTTGGCTCTAGGCATGCATTTTATGGCTATGGGCAGCAGATCTCATCTTTGAATTCCGTTTAATGAAGGCTCAAAGCTTTGCCTTCCCTGAGCATTTTCCAGCTGAGGGCAAGAAACTCTAGAATGACACATGTGATGGAGATAATATTCAGAATTGTTGATGAGAACCTGTAATTGTCACAGGATGTGGAGTCAAGATGAAATCTGAGATTCCTCCTTGCGAGCCCATCCTTGTTTAGTGTAGTCAACTATTTTTTTTTTTTTTTGAGTTGGAATCTCACTCT